AGGGTAGGAATGTTTTGGGGCGTGTGTATGTATCTATGTGTGTGTGTAAATCTACATGCAGGTCACATGTATGTGAAGGTAGGGAAAGTTTTGGCCTTCATTCTGCAGATACCACCCACCTCGTGTTTTTGAGACAGGGTCTCTCACTACCCGAGTCAGATAGTAAGCACCAGGCATCTACCTCCCAGCTTCCTATTATAGATGCATATGCCCCAATGGCTTCTGGGGGTAGAGGGGGTCCATTTTCTTTAAGGGTGTGGCTCTTGGTAGTTCAGCCATACTCCAGTGGGTGACCTCACACTCAGAAATATATGGAAAACAATTTGTTAAAAAGAGAACATGAAGTTGAGGGATGGGGGGGGCCGGTTATAGGAGGAGTTAAAAAAAGATTTGAGGAGTTCATGTGATCAAAATACATTGCCAACAAATTAATAAAATCTGTCTGTTTGATAAAAGGAAGACACATTTAAAATACGAAGAAAAACAACAAAAGAAACCCAAATGCATTCCCCCACGTTCAGCCTTCTACGTGGTGCTGAGGTAGAACTCAGGACTTCACATTTTCTCCTTTGCCCACAGAGCCATCTCTCATCTCCACGTGTAGGCAGGGCTCTCAAGTAACCATACGCCATGTTCATATTTGTTCTCTGGAACCGTAATGCTCGGAGGAAACAGTCATTTGATAGCATCTGCTTTGCAAACCTCAGCCTTTGACTGACACTCTGGAATCTGTCAAGTCACGTGGCTCTAGACTGAGTGTAACCCTCTCAGCCCTTGGTGGGTGCTCTTATTCTTATCATGACCATTGTTAGGCAAACTCCTGTGGCCGTCATCCACATAGCCATTCTCACGACCTCTGGTGAGCAAGGTGCCAGCCTGTTTGCTGTCCTGTTTCCCCATCTCCTCTCTCTATGGCCTTGCTTACTCTAGGTCCTGTTCTTTCAGTAGCCTCCTCCCAGGAGTCCATGTGTCAAGAGCAAATCTTGAGCCCCAGGGCTTCAACACTGAACACAGTAGGTGCCTATCTCTTATTGCTGCTGGTACCTAAAGATTTTCTAATACTCACTGATGCAGATTAGCATCCCTGGGAATCCTGAGTTCTTCCCTTTGCCTACAAAATCAGAATGTGTGTTTGTCAGGATCCCCCACAAACATTTATGAAGAGGGATCTTTACTTATCCGTTGTGAGTTCAGGGGCTCCCCACAGGCTAGATCCATCACTCAGGAAGAGGAAGATTCTCAAGGGACTTTCCCCCAGCGTAGCTAACATCTTTCACAGAGCTAGCACTCAAAACACGAAGGGTGGCAAGGAGACTGTGTACGGCCTGCCTGCCAGTCAGATGAGACAGTGGCCTTCACTGCAGCCTCCCTGAACCTTTCAGCCACCAAATGCCCTTCTCCTGGCAGCCAGTTGGAAGCCAAGGATTTGATTCTCTCCATGGATTGCAACATTAGTCATGTCACTTGGTCAAAGCCTACCTTGTCCTGTGCAGGCTTTAATCCACACTGGGCTCTTTGTACTGTGCCGGCTCCTAAAATGTGTGGTATCATCACCCATGCTCAATGCCAGGGTGAGCAGGCCCGGCAAAGTCACAAATGAATGACGGTTATCGGGGGAGTTAGTTCTCAATTTCCCAGGAGTGCTACTTTTTAAGTAATTCATTTACTTACGTAATTTACATAATAAATACAAAATATTTTCTTTAGGCATTTATTTATTTATTTTTGCTTGTATACGGTGCGGGAGGGGGAGGCATGTCTGAAGAGCAGGTGGAGGTCAGAGTACAACTGGTGAGAGTGAGTTCTCTACTTCCACTGAGCGGGCCCCAGAGCCCAAACCCAGGTCCTGAGGCTCAGTGGTGAGCACTTCCACGCACGCACGCACGGAGGCCTCTCATCACCCCAGCCGGAATCCTTTAACAATCTTCCTCTTTTGTTTGGACGACCTGAACTTGCCGAAGCTCAGGAAGGACTCCCCAAACTTTGCCCAACTCTCTGGATGTTCACTCTAAACTGCTGGGAGGATGCCACCACTGACTGGCTTCAGTCCCTCAAAACTGGCAGCTCTTAAACCCTGGCTGTTTCCATCTCCGAGAATTCTCAGTTCCTGTCAGTTCTAAACCCCCCTAAGTGATGTTGTAACAATAAGCAGTTCTCAAGGCTAAGCTTTTGACCTTTCTAGTCATTCTCTTTTCTCACTTTTTCTTTTAACCTTTGCCATCAGAACTGTACGTGACAAAAAAGAAAAAAAAATTAAAAAAAAAATTTCCACCGTTTTTTTACGTCTCCTGCTGCTCTCTGTTGCGTCAGATCTCAACACCTCCATTGGACTGATCTGTGATCCTGGGTGCCTAGACCCTTTAGTGGGGCCCTCATTTGCAGCAGAGACCATTGTGTGCAATGCATCGCAGCTTTCAGTTTCACTGCACTGAGGCAACCACAGCACCGACTTTCTCTGGAGGACTCTCTGCGGGCTTCTTGCTGGCCACCCCTGACTTTCTCCGCTCAGTCTGTATGTGTCTCTGTCAGCTGAATCTCCCTGGGCCCAGCCTGCTGTGGCTTCTCTCCCTGAATCCTCAGGGACCACATGGCTTCCTTTCTCCATTGATGTCAGAGGCCTCTGTGTGCCTGGTACCCACGCTAGATGGTGCCTTACAGACCCATTCATGAGAACATGCACAGGTCAGACCCGGTCTCTGTCATCTCCTATTCTACTATAGCATGCTTCGTGTCCTGGCCCCTAATTAATTAATTATTAATTAATTTAGGTTCTGTTTTTGGTATCTACGAGGATGTACATTTGTGTGTATACTCATGGTATGTGTGAGGGTACACATGTGGGAGAGGGGAGTGGGTGGGTGTGTCAATGGTATGTGTGAGGATTACCATAGACACGCCCACCCACCATTGGTTACCTTCTAAAACTGCCCCAAACGCTTACCTTTCAAGATTTTAATGCTAGTGTTGAAGACGCTGTGGCCATTATAAAATCAGTTTACACTGTTGAGGGCATTGCTAGGCATTGCTACAACCTAAGAGTGTTGCCTCTCACCCACTTTTTTGATTTTTTGTGTTTTGGTGCTTTGTGTTTTGCTTTTGGTTCTGTGGCCCACTGTAGAGAAGCGGGGCCACCCGTGTGGCTGCTGAGCTGGCGGCATGCGGTTGCAGTCTCCCAGCAGTGAGATGCTCTCTTCGTGAATCACAGCTGCAACCTTCACTCGCATGAACCAAGTCCGTTGGTTTGGTCCCTGCCAATGTATGAGAACAGCTTCTCTCTTCTGTTTCTCCTTCTTTTACTCTTGGTGTACATATGTATGTGCCACATGTAGGTGTATGTAGTTCCTCTGTGTGGCTCTGTGTGAAAGCATGTGGAGACCAGAGGTTGATGTTGAGTGTCTCTTTCTATTGCCCTGCATATTATTGTTATTGTTATTATTATTGTTATTATTACTACTACTGCTACTACTGACCCTGGAGCTCATCAGTTAGGTGAGACTCGCTGGTCAGCAAGCCCAGGGACCCTCCTGTCTCTATCCACCCAGGGATGGGATTGTAAGTAAGCCCCACCATGCCCAGCCTTTTTAGTTGGCTCCTGTGACTCTGAACTCATCTTCTCTTGGTTCCATGGCAGACACTTCACTGACTGAGTCACCTCCCACCCCCTGAAACTCCTTAAAAAAAAAAAAAAAAAAAGAAACTGCCTAGGTATCTGATGGCTATGTGAGTCATGCTCTGCCAATCAAAACAGCCCCGTGCTTCTCTGAACATTTCTTCAGATGTTCATCTTGTACGAGTTCTGGGAAGGGAAATGAGAAACAAGCTGCAGCCTCCGATACGAGGCCAGAGGCGCTGTAGTAGGGTATATCAGCAGCAGTACCTTTCAGGCAGCCCTGGGAAGCTCAGGCGGGTGTCATTGATGGTGTGGCTTCTGGTAAATCTTTCACCGTGCTATCTCCAGGGTGTCGGCTACTTGGTCTCATGCTCCCTGAATGGACAGGTCCTAAAGTTAGAAGAAAATGGAGAGTCAGAAGGCACAGATGCATTGGTGCAAGGCGGAGCTTGAACCACACTCCCAGAGGGTTGGATGCGCCCTGTTCCTGTAGCCAGGGCCACAGCAGGGCCCTGTCCATGAGCTTCTCACCTCTCCCTGCTGGGACAATAGTGCCTGACAAAAGCAACTTAAGGAAGGAAGGCTTGTTTGGGCTCACCAGCCTGGTTTTCTGCCGCTTATGGCGTTGAAGGCATGGCGCCACCCACAGTCAGGAAGTGCAGAGAAATGAGTGCTGGTGTTTGCTGGACTCCTCCTTTTCATTGACTTCAAGGCCCCAGCCAGGAGATGGTGCCTTTTACACCGAGGACGGGTCTTCTCTCTTCAGTTAAAACTCTCTGAAGCACCCTGGTAGACACACCCAGAACCGTGTCTCCCCGACAGAATCCCACCAAGCCGATCACCAAGCCGGGTCTTCTCAGTGTCGTGTCCTTCTCTGTACTGTTATAACCCGGGAACACATTAAATGTCTCTCACCACCAGAGTAGACATGAAATGAATATTCAAGTGAAATGAATATTTAAAAGGAACATTAAAATGAAATGATGAATATTAAAAACAAAGCTGTTGTGAGGACTCAGAATACAGCTCAGGAGAGGAACACCTGCTTAGCGTCTAGGAGGCCTCTGCTTCAGTTCCCAACACCACACACACAAGTTCCAAAGTGAACATTTACCCATTCCTTCAGGCAGATGCCAAAACATGGGACAGAGAACCGGCTTGAATTACTTCATCCTCAGGGAAATGGCAAAGAACAGCAATCAGGCTTGGGGGCTACAGTGTGGCAAGTTTGAAGACAACCTATTGTCTGTACTTGACTGTGATAGTCTATCTCTAATCTTTTACATGAATACAACACTTTGTTAATTGAAAAAAATTGGTTCTCTTGCATGCCATTTAAAATCTGGAAACAGCCCTCTGAGAGGGTATAATTCTCCATCCCATTTTACAGATGTGGAAATGGAGGCCCAGAAAGATGCACCCATCCACCTAAGCTGTAATAGGACCATCCATCCACTGAAACATTGTAACGTATTGTGAATCTGTCTTTTTATCTTTCTGTCACTTGTAGTTATTATGTTCTTTCACTTCTTGATGTATAAGTAAGCCTAAGATGAACATCTATGGTCTGGTCGCAGGGCTGGAGAACTGGCTTAGCTGCTAGAGTGCATGCTGCTCTTGCAGAAGACCTGAATCCAGTTCCCAGAACCCACATGAGGCAGATCGTAACACCTGCAACTGTAGCCCCAGGGGATCCAACACTGTCTTCTGGCCTCTGTGGGCACTGTACTGATGTGCACAAACCCATTCTCAGACATAGACATTTTAAAGTGTCTCTGTCTGTGCCCCTATCATATTTTTCAATTCTTGTAGCTGGCTTATGGATGAGTAGGGGTGGCAGGGTGGGGGTCGGGTGGAGCTGAGACTACAAGCCTTCTTCTTGCTTTGAAAGTTAGAATGCTGGAAACTTTCTTCTTGCAGGTCAAAGTTCTTTGAGGGTTTTGCTCCTCCTTCCCATGGGGGCAGCCTCTCTTCTGGGCACCATGTGAGCTGTCCCTGTGAGGCTATAGCTTCATTTCCAGGAGACACACACTTCTATTTACAAAAGGCTGTGTGTGCCACACTGGGCAGTGGTGGGACAATCCTAGAATTCCAGCACTTGGCACATGGAGGAGGAAAGGAGGGTCAGGAGTTCAAGTTCAAATTGCTAGCCAGCCTGAGGTACAGGAGTCCTGCCTCAAAATATCTAAATAAATAGATAAATGGAAACATGTAACACTGCTAGTTGCTGCCATTTGGTGAATCCTTCCCCCTGATCCCTTTATAGCTTCAGGTGCCCAGAACATCAGTGAACACAGCATCTCTATATAAGAAGGCAGGTCTTAACCAGGTAGACCTAGAAGGCAGTTATTAACTCTGTCTGCCCTTCCCATAGTCCCATAGCTGCTTTACCTTGAATCTATGAATAAAGATGTGATGAAGAACAGAGGTGTTTCAGAGGCGAAACATGAACAAGAGAGACACCTGTTGTGTAGTCACGTTGCTTAGATAGAAAACAAGATGGTGTTTGAGGGGTAGCACAGCCAGTGTACAGCTGTGGTATCCCCAAAGGACATGGACTAAAGAATGATGCAAGGGACTGGGGAGATGGATCAATGGTTAAGAGTGTTTGCTGCTCTTGAGGACATAACTTCAGTTCCCAGCTCCCGCATCCAATGGCTTGTAACCAGTAGTAATTCTAGCTCCAGGGGCCTCATAGCCTCTTCTGGCAGCCTTGGGTGCTTACACACACACAAATTAATAAATAAGAATTAATAAAACAAATCTCTTTTTTAACTTGGCCAGCAGACAGTACGCGGCTTGCCAGTTTATCAGGCTGATTGGCACTCCCAATTTTCTACACATTGCCTTGCTGGAGTGTTATTATAAAAAAAGGAGAAGTTGAGTCATGATATTTTATTTAATTTTGGTCAAAACATGAATTAAGTGAGCTCTGGTGACAGTGGCTTCATTCTCTCCTTTTCTGCCAGTCAGCAGGGTGAGTTTCCTGTGGCTTGGGTGAGCTGGAGGGCCTCATGATCTTCCTTCCTGCTGGAGATTTTCCATTAAGGTTGAGCTTCGTTAAGCACTGACTGGATTAATGGGTTCATGTAGCATTGACAAAGATTTCCTCAAATTCTTAGGGATCTCACCATTACTTTTTATGCACTTCCTTCTTTAAAAAAGATTGCATATTTTTAAGTCTTCTGGGATAATCCTTTTTATATAATCCTTAAAAACTGTCATTTTTTTTTTCACTCTAATTTTTGTATGAAGGAAGAAGTCACCGTACAAACAACAACAATACTGATTTTGAACATTTCAGAAATGGCCTTTCTTCAGATTGAAATAGAGGTAGTGGTTAGGGGTTAAAAACTAGAACAAAGGCTAAGGAAGTGAGTTAATTCAGATGTAGTGACTTACTGTGTTACATCTCTGTAGCCTTGTGCTTTCTCTGATGTGAGGAACCATTTTCTGTTGGATCATGGGAAGGTGGCAGTAGAGTCCATGACCATCATGGTGGGGAACATGGCAACAGGCAGGCAGGCATGCTTCTGGAGCAGAAGCTGGGAGCCTGTGTCCTCAGACAACCATCAGGAAGAGGGAGAGAGAGAGAGAGAGACAGAGAGACAGAGAGAGAGAGAGAGAGAGAGAGAGAGAGAGAGAGAGAGAGAAACACTAACTGGGAATGGCACAAGCTTTCAAAACTTCAAAGCCCACCCCCTGCCCTGACATGCCTCCTCCAGCAAGGCCACACCTCCTAATCCTTCCCAAACAGTTCTACCACCTGGGACCAAGCATTCAGAGCCTAGGGGGCCGTTCTCATTCAAACTATCACACAGAGTCCCAAGTGGCCCATGCAGGCCTTGAACTCACCATGTAGACAAGAATGACCTTGAACAACTGTCCCTTCTGCTTCTGCCTCCTGGGTGCTGGGATTACAGTCTACCCCCTTTACTGGGTGCAAGGGATCAAACTCAAAGCTTTGTACACAATGGGAAAGTCCTCTACTAGCTGAACCATATCTCCAGACCTTAAGACACCACTTAGTTTTTAAAATTGTTTGTACTGATTTTATTTATTTATGTGTGTGGCTGGCACATGCATGTGGAGGTCAGAGGACAAATGGAAAACTCTGGGAAGTCAGTTTTGTTCTCTTCGTCCACCATGTGGATCCTTCCTGGTGCTTGAACTCAGGTCATCAGGCCTGAAGACAACCATCTGGACCCACTGAGCCATCTGGCGGGCCTGAGAGACATTTCAGAAGTTTGTCTTTCCCGTGGCAGGGAAGGGGCTCACAAGGCTGCACATCCCTTGAGAAGCCAGAGGCAGTTGATGGCTGCTGGGGTGATAGAGTTAGTGCTCTTCTGGGGTGCTACCCTGATGGGTTGCCCAGGCTACAGCGCACATTCCAACACCCACATGCTTTCAGACAACACCAACTGGGCATTTATAACAAGGTATTTGTACATCCCTGCACCCATTTATCCATTTCAATTATCTATCGATTCTATCTATCTATCTATCTATCTATCTATCTATCTATCTATCTATCATCTATTCTATCTGTTCTGTCTATTATATCTATTCCATCCATCTTTCTATTCATCTATCAATTTATCCTCTACATATTCATCTATCTGTCTATTTATCCATCTATCAATTTATCATTTATCTACCTATTCATCTATCTATCTGTCTATCTAATCTATCTGAAAGAGGACATAAGATGGAAAGGAGACAGGGGAAGGGCCTAAGATCTGGAGCTGGGGAATGAGAGGTGAATTTGATTGAAACAAGACACATTCATGCAAAACCAAACAAACTGAAAAGAAAAGTTCAGCTTTTTCAGGAAATCCCCCAGTCCCATTTTTCAAATGAATCTCCTTGTGTCCTGCCATCTGGGGACTGGTTAAAGAGTTCCACCCTTTCAAAAGATCACATCTAGCAACCAGCAGAACTCCTGAAGAATTTGCCCAGAGTTCTCTTTGAAGAAGAATGTATACAGAGAAAGTGAAAGGCCCTGGAGTCATGTCTTTCTATACCTGTCTCATCCCCAACACAGGATTAGAGGTTGAGTCACACAGGAAGACAGACACTTTGGGTTGGGCCTGACCACACCAACATGCAACTCTATAGAGCTCTTATGCCAATGCAGGGTGGTGCTAGGTTCCAGACACTTAGGACAAGGGGGTGCTGATAGGCAGCTCTCACCGTCAGACTCTGATGTATCTTTGTCTGTCAAATCCACCACTCTGCATAGACCGAATCTCTCCTTCCTTCCCACACATATTTCATTTTATGTGTGTGGGTGTTGTGCCTGCCTGCATGTGTGTGTACCAAGTATGTTACTGGTGCTCAAGGAGGTCAGAAGGTGTTGGATTCATTGGAACTGGGGTTACAGATGGCTGTGGGTGCTGGGACTAGAACTTGGGTCCTCTGCCAGAGCAGCAAGTGTTCTTTACTGCTGAGCCATGTCTTTAGACCACTTTCCATATGTGTGTGTGTGTGTGTGTGTGTGTGTGTGTGTGCATGCGCACGTGTGCACATGAGCACATGTATTTGGATATGCACATGTGTGATGGTGGGTGTGCCTGCACATGTGTGTCACTGTTGGCTGGAGAACAACTTCCTGTTTCATCCTTAGAAACGCCCTGTAGCTGCTTTTTGAGACAGGGCCTTTTGTTGGCCAGGAGCTCACACAGAAAGTAGACTGGCTAAGGCATAAGCCCAGGGACCCTCAGTTTCTTCCTCTTTATCCCTGGGATTATACCACCATGCCCAGCATCTTCACATGGTTTCCAAGGCTCAAACTCAGGCCATTGTGTTTGAGGAATGAGCAGTACCCTCACCCCAGCCCCAAGGCTATGTCCTCTGCTGAACTGTATTTAATTTCCAACCTTGGCTGTGCATCCAATTCATCTAAAAAGCTTTAGAGTAATTTCACTGCATGCGTCAAACTCGTAAGAGTTCTGTGTTAATGGCTTGAGCTTCATCACCATCTAATGGCTTCATCACCATCTAAAAACAAAACAAAACAAACAAACAAACAAAACAACAAAACAAAAAACCCTAGATGCTTCTGATGAGGAAACCAGGATTAAAAGCACTGATTGAGCCAAACCCACTGAGGGTACAAATAAGCTTGTGTCTAGGAATGGCAAGGCATTAGGCTGTGTCCCAGAGCAGTAAAACACCATTTTGTGGTTTCAACACCTCACATTCATTGGCATCCTAACAAAAATGAGCAAGGCATCAGGGCAGAGCTGTGTAAGAATCGAAATTCTTTTTTTTTTTTTTTTTTGGAGACTTCCCCACAGAATGGGGTTTTCTTGGGGATGGGGTGTAGCTCACTTGTCTAATATGTGTGAAGCCCTGGCTTCTGTCCCCAGGATGGCATGTACTGGGTGGGCTAGCACATGCTTCCTTGTAACCACAGCCTCCTGGAGAGTAATGATGCCCGGATCAGAAACTTATCTTTAGCTA